GTAATTTTTCTTGAAAAGTATAATCTATATGTTGCATTTAATTTTCTATGCTTAAGTTTCCTTCTTACTTTTTCAGAAAAAATTTATTAGTTAATAAAAAATGTGAAAGTAAAAATTATCCTTCTTTACATATTGCGCTCACAAATCTTTATGGGAATATTCATTTACAGTTATTAAAGCATGTATGGAAAAAGCATGTCTGCGATGTTATCGTCATGCGATGATTTGTAGATACTTTATTTTTTGCCACGATATTTTCGACGACGATGTTTTTAAACTGCGAAGTTTTTGAACCGCTTTATTTTCGACGACGATGTTTTGTACCACGATTTTTTAGGACTGCGATGTTTTCTCTTTGCGATGATTTCTCCCACGATGTTTTGTAGCACGATGTTTTCACCTTGCGTTGTTTTCTCCGCGACGTTTTCGTCCGCGATGTTATCGGCGGACACCGTAATTAATATCATTTATTAACTGACATTGATTGCAGGACCTGACATACGCAGTTACTATTTTGCATAATTGCGGGAAATATACCGCCTCGCGTACCCTTTTTAAAGTCTTTCTGACCCCTAAATGACCCGCTGTTTTCGCGTCGTGTAATTCCTTCAAAATGCTTAATCGAAGCGAGGCTGGGATGACTGGTTTGTTTACTCGAAAGTTTTTTTCGTTTGTTGTTTTCGTATAAAATAATAAATTATCTATTATTTCATAGTTTTCTGCTCTATTTCTTATCGCATCGATATCTGTGTGCTCAAAGCTTTCGGGGTCTTTCAAATATGCATAGATATTTCCAAATTCAGGATCAGCTTTCAATTCAGCAATAATTGTTTCTCTAGAATCTAAAATTTTTTTTTGAAGTGAAACAACACAGCGCATTTGAGTTCATTGCCTTCATCGTCCAGTTTTATACGAGAATAGTGCGTCAGCTACATTGTTTTCCTTACCCGGTTTATATTTAATTATGAGGTTATACTCTTGAAGTTTTAAAGCCCATCTTATTAACCTGGGCGTTAGGTTTTTTCCCCGAGTAAAGTCTACCAACAGCCGCATGATCCGAAAAGACTGTTACTGGCGCTTTGCCGAAATAAACTCGAAATTTGTGTACAGCCATTAATACGGCTAATGTTTCTCTCTCTGTAGCTGTATAATTCCTTTGCGTAGGGTTCAAAGTTTTACTAAAAAATGCCAAAGGATGGCCATTTTGCATGAGAACAGCACCTACAGCATAGTCCGACGCATCTGCTGCAATTTCCAGTTTTTCGTCCCCCTCCGAAAATTTCAAAACATGGGCATTGATGAGCGCTTCTTTTAACCTTTCAAATGCAGTATTTGCTTCTGGTGTCCACGTGAATTTACTTTTCTTTCTTTTAATTACTAACAAGTGTTCAACAATATTATCAAAATCTTTTACGAACGACCGATAATAAAAACATAATCCAAGGAAAGAAGAAAGTTTCTTGGCGGTGTTGGGAGGTGGGAAATTCTTGATGGCTTTTATTTTTGAATCCTGAGTTTCTATACCCTTTTGCGAAATTTTATAACCCAGATATTTAAGTTCTTTAGTTGCGAACTTGCATTTTGAGGCGTTAATTGTAAGACCGGCCTCTTTTAATAATTTAAAAACTTCTTCTAGATCATTAATATGTTGTTCCAACGTATACTACTCGTTATAATTATATCATCTAGATAGATTAAAGTCGATTTTCCTAGGACAGGCTTTAGAACAATGTCCATAGCTCTCTCTGGAATGTTGATGGGGCCCCACACAACCCAAAGGGACATGCGTAAAAATGCATAAGTGCCCGATTTTGTTATAAACGCGGTTTTATGTATGTCTTCGGGTCTCATAGCTATTTGATAGTAGCCAGACGTTAAGTCCAAAGTAGTCATGTATCTTAGTAGATTTAATCTTTCTAATAATTTCCTCTATAACCGGCAAAGGGTAAACTGGGAATTTAGTAATACTATTAGTTTTCTGTAATCGATAGCAAACCTCCAAGCCCTTTTATCCGAAGGAGGAAACTCGTTCTTTTTCCTACATAGTACGACTGGACTCGCGTACTCACTATTTATGGGCGTTATTATTTTGGTTCTTTAACATTTCCTGAATATGTTCTTCGATGATTTGCTCTTTTTGTTTATCATAGCGGTAAGTTTCGTCCTACAGGGTTTGTCGGCAGTTAACTGTATCATGCGTAACTATTTGACAGTTACCAGGCCGTTCTGAAAACAAGTTTGAAAAAGTACTCACCACTTGCTGGATGGCTTGACTTTCATGGTCATTCAAATGGCTAAGGTCGACTTGCGGTTGTTTCCACTGGTTCCACCACCCTCCGATCCATCTCCAGCACAAATAGAACTTTCCTGAAAATTGAGTTTGGCCTTCTCGCGGCCTTTTAAAAACTCCATACCTAAAATAAGTGGACTTTTGCAAATTTTTTACTACAAAAATTAATACTTTAAGGCTTTTGTTTTCTGTATTTTTAAAGATAATTTTCCAATACATTGTCAAGTTTGTCCTTGCGCTGCTATGATTTCTGTGTTTTTTATTTTAAATAATCGTAACTATTAAAATTCTTTCTTAAAAAATATCACTCATAAAATTACCTTCTGCTCCTGTATCGATGAGGGCTTCTACTGGTACATCGCCAACCAGGACTTGTATAATTCGGTAATGTGAGTTTTTTACGACGGACCGTATTTAAGTATCTTCTTGAGGATTTTTTTTTTTTTTTTTTTTTTTTTTTGTTTTTTTTTTTTTGAAAACTTCCGGGGTCTGGACCCTCGCTTTTACAGGCCCCTCTACTCGTTTAAAGCTTTCCTTTCAACTTCTGCCTTCTGGGTACGCGGACGGTTGTTTTCAAATTTCCTTTTTGGGCCTTGACCTTCGAGCTTCGATGAGTTAGCTTGATAGCTCTTTCCCCCATAAGAGCGATTTGCGTTTCTGGTCTGCTCATTTGAAGATTGCCTACGGAGACCTTGAGAATACGATGCCCCTCTAGCTTTTTCCGCTATTCTGCGATTTTGGAACTTGACCGCCAATTCGAAGAGTCCTGCAATGTGCTTGGGTTTCTAATTTCGAAGTAGTCTTGAACAGCAGGTAACAATCTTGGTAAGATTATTTCAATAATCTCCGCGTCGGGTTTCTTCCCATACAGCATATCCGTCAGTTTAATTTTTCGCAGAATAAAGTCCGTCAACTCTTGTATATTTCCGTTGATAAAAACTATACAGTTCGGCTTCTAGCTTTGCTCGGTCTTTCACTATGGGGAAGGCCTTTAATAATGATTTTTTGAAATTTTCAAAGGTATATGTTTGGCCTTCCGAATTCCCTAATAAAAATTTGCCTATATTCTTCCACCATAGCGAGGCCTGTCCTCTTAGTGCAGATGTGGCGATGGCAACTTTTGTCTTTCAGGCACAGGGTAGAGCTGGAAATGGATTTTCGAGGCCTTCTAAGAATATTGCCACCGAATTTTTTTTCCGTCGAAATTGACGTTTGGCTTGATTGACGCTCATCGTCTGGACCAGGTATCCAAATCCTTCCAATTGGCTTGCCATTTCTTGTTGTTGGACTTGTCCAGAAGCTTCCATCCAATTTTCGGCCATTTCAGTTCGACAAGTGTTCGGGCGCCAATGTAAGTTGCGCGGCCCCAACTTACACGCAACAATAGTAGTGACTGCTATGAACTGGAAAGTACACAGAAAACTCTTAAGAAGGGTTTAAACTCCCTTTTTATTCAACTTTAGAAATTACAGATGCGTGCACTTGACGCTCACAAACTACGCCGACCCGGGGTAAAATAAAATAAGAAACTAAAAATGAACAATAACAAGTTACTACATACGAGGCTCTCTAAACGTAACTAACCTCACCGCGTTCTAAGATACCAGCTGATAATTCAGCAAACTTTCTGAATATTAAGTTGAAAGATCAACAATCTGCCGAGGCAAGCACACAGCCCGAAACGCGCGGTTCTTCAATTTCTACTAGCCACCTAGCACCTCACGCTCGTGAAGCAAGAAAGCACCCTTACGAACTCGTTTCCCTTCTATTTAACTCAAAATACTTCTGCTAAAAATTGAATACTTTTGCGCGTTCTACTAAAAATTTACATACTCTGGCATTGGTCAATTCCAGGGGAAAGTAAGGCTTGACAGGAAAGATAGTTTAAACTTAAAATAAATGTTAGTTAAAATAAATATAAACCCTACAATACAAAACGTTAAAAGAACGCCTCTTTGGATGTAATTTAAAATCTGATACCTTTCAGATTTTTTTTAGTTGTTACATATTATGTAACAATTAAATTATACTCATTTCTGTAGTAATGAATATTCTGCAGAATAAATTTTTAAGAAAAGTAAAATTAATCAAATAAATTAATTGAAAATAAAATTAATCAGTTCGTATTTCGAAAACAAAGAAAATCTACTTAGTAGAACAATTTTACGTTATTAAAATATTTGTGTTTGATATTTACAAAATAAATCAGAAACATATTTCAGTTTATACATACTCATGGCGCGAATTGCACTCAAATGACTTAGTGTTAAGGGCAGAGAGAACGTAATATTAGCACTTCACTAGATAAATACAGGTAATGTGTATTCATCAGAAAGACTAGAAGAAATTTTCTGAATTACATAATAAATCAAAAGGCACACTTTCACTGTTCCTAAAATGTATATGTGTCAGTAAAGTTGCGTCTAAATCTCCGCAACACGGAACTGAATGATGTAAGAATAGCGAAAAAGCTAAGAAAACATCCCAAACGATCTATCACATGTCAATACAAGCATATAAATTTGAAACGCAGTTCTATAATTGACTGTTAGAATTAAGATGTGAAATATAGAAGCTGTGTAACCTTAGCGTACGTTTACCTTATTATACTTTACCCAACAGGAAGTTAGTATTAATAGATGTATATTAAATAGAAGATTTTTTACATCCTGCAGTGTTTAAGAATATGATGCAATTATTTTTGTCCTAGATCCCGAGAAATGACTATTTTGGATTTTGGAAAGCTGTGGAAATGTAACTCAAGTTATAAAAGATGGATTATACAAATATTGTTGCAAATACAGAAGAAATTTTGCTATAAAAAGTGTCGCAACTGCTTATTGCTGTGCAGGAGAAGATCGCCACATTGTGCTATTCTATCTAGACAACAAGCAAAATACTTGCGACTTTTTCCCAAGCAAAACCCAGTCCAAAGGAAAAAAAAAGAACAACCTGCAAAGATATGCCAAATATATTCAAAATAGAGTAAAATATGCGAAACTATGAGCGAATATGGAAGGTGCTTGGCTACCTCCCAGCATGCTTTGAATTTTATCACACTCGTGAGAACTATTGAATAAAACATTGGATGTATTAAACTCTTATATATTTAATATTTTTTATTTTTGAGTTTTCTTTATCAGTTTTGTTATTTTATCATTTCCTTTTTTAATAAAGTGAAAGATGACCATCTACTGAATTTCTTTGGCTAAAACGATTATGTATTTCGTAAAGAAAATAAATGCCCATAAAATTTTGCAAAAACATTTTCTTTTTAAATCGGTATCTGTAATCAAAATACAACATAATATACTGCATACTAATGTACATTCCATTTAGTTCACATTCAGAATAATCTCCCTTCATTTTCACCGTCTTATACATACCTAAAAAAATAATAATAAATAAAACTTAGCATGTCACAAATTTAATATAATTCAAATAAACGACTATATTCCAGAATTGTGCTGATTAAATGATTAAATAAGGAATTAGTTGTGCTATTTATTTAAACCACTATAGTAATATTGAATATAATATAATATAACTTTATAGTGTAATACTATAGTGTAACATGAAAACGTCATAAACTGGTCTTTTTTTAAGAGATGATATCGGTATTATATATGAAACGCATTAATTCTATACTGAGTGAACTGTGTTAATTGTCAGGAGTTACAATCGCATATTCATCACTTACTCTAGATAATATATAAACATATATATAATTTCAGACCAAATTGGTAAGTTGTGACGTTTAAAATATTTCAGGGCGATTTTGTTACCGTTTAATAAGTAAAGAGTACTTTTTAATGTTTGATCTGATAGCCTTTTTCTCGACTATAAGTCTACATCATGGGCCCACCAGTGGCCGAGCGGTAAAGTCGCTGAACACTGGTAGTTCGGTCCGAGGTTCGAATATCTCGTACGGGGTGGCTGCATGGGCGTTTCCGTGGTGTTCCCCATGTGTAATGTGTATACGAGCCAGTTTCCTTTAGAAAGTCCTCCACGAAGGCATTTATTCCCTTAGGCAGATAGCCCTCGAGGCTTTGCCATAATCACACACATATACAAAAAAATGTCTACAACATGATTTCCATCACAGAACGGCTTTCATATAATTTCCAGGAGTGTTCATTTCTTTTCGTCTTTTTCTACTTCCTAGATTTCATCAATTGTTGTGGATTTGAGCTTGGAAAGAGTTCTTTTCAAGAAACCAGAGGCGCTGTAATCCAGACGTGAAACTTCAGGAGACTTCGCAAGAATACGTAGAAATCGTTAAGCAGTACCTGTATCAGTTTTCATTTTTTTTTCAAAGAATGTAATGGTACGTTTTAAAGTACGGCTTGTTGCTTTTTCTTGATGAAATTTCACTCTTTAAATGTCACTGGGCTAAAAAATAGAATTTCTTCTGAAAATATCGCACGTAAAACTTATTCTGGATAATACGTATATTTGATTTTAACATATACTTCTACCCTTCTTACTTTTATTTTTCTATTGTAAAAGAATCTGGCGACAATTCCACACCCCTTAATGAAAGTTTCTTTAAAGTGACGGAACCAAGTTTGTACTCGTTTTGATATGAAATTGAACTTTTTCGAGTCATTTAGGTAAATTCATGCTTCATCAAAAATCGCAATTTATTTCAATTTATCGTCTGCTGAATTGTTTTCATACAGATGTTCTACAAATTGTTCTGCATTGTGCCAAATGCCTCGTGTCTCTGCAAAAGCTAATGAACATTATGTTTTTTTTAATCTTCTCTAAATTGTAAATATTGGTTTATCATTTTATTTATTACTGCTACATATTTATTTACAGACATTGCACTGGTTTCTGCGTAAACGGATTTTCTCGTGTTATGAACGATGTAATTTTAGAAATATCTGAAACACTACATAAATTTTTCGAGTACTCGTTTGGAGTGTTCGTTCTATGTAATGATTGACGGTTTTTCCCTTTACAATTAAATATGTTGTTTATTTTCCACCTATAAATTTCAATACCATGCATTTCAGAATGTTTCTAAATTACGAAATAGGGATATTTCTCTTCGGAAAGCGGAAAAACATATCCTTCAGTTCACAGCTTGTTTACAAGCGAGATTTTGAAAGAAGAATAAATTTAAACGTTGCGGGCAATATATCTTATTTTAAATTATAAGTTATTGCCAAAATGTTTTATTCCAAAACATTTGCTATATATATATATATATATATATATTATAACATAAAAACTATATACAAATGTAGTTTTTATATCGAGACCTCACATCAATGGAATATATTAATATACATTTTGCAAGCTATGTTTCCGGCAAAGTAATCAGCATATCTGTTATTCCATTCTATAGTATTAAACAAGCAACAAATGGTGCTAAAAAATCACTTCACACCTTGGGCATTTTCATTTTCTGAAAGAGAAGGAAAATTACTGGGTCTTTGATTTAAGCTATCTTTAAAGTTAGAAATGAACAATTATTTTATTTATCAGGAATGAAATGTTGACATTTGCTTCTTAGAGGACTTTCATTAACTTTGAGGAAATTAATTACAGTTCGTGTAATTCGAGGTTCACTTCTTTTTTAAAGAAAGTGTAAGTCAGAGCTAATCGGAACGATTTTAACACGTAGTTAAAGTCTCAAAATTATGTTAGCCAAATAGTGTTATGACTGTGAAGACAATAATTTATTTTTTATTCGCTAATTTTGCCTTCACTCTCATTTTCTGACTCAGAAAAGTTCCTCTCTCTCTGCATCATCACCATGGCTGTGATAATTGTTATATAAGGAGGGCATTTTGATGCTGGCTTGATTTTATTCTATCGGGTGATAAAATTAATACTCTACGATAACTACCACAGTTTTAAAATCAAATTACATTTTCTGCTAAAAAAGTAATAGACGGATGATAATTGACGACATAAAACCTCAAGCTTTCGTGAAACGTTTCAATGTACATACATCACCTTTCGTTCAGATCCTGAAATTTATTGAATTATTATAAGTCGGTCAGTTTTGAGAAATGACAGTTCTTCAGTTCATAATAGAGAGCCAATTATCTTCAACTAGATTTAGTAAATTGTTTGCGAGCTTAGAAAAGACTTATAACGCAAAAATTGTTTTCGCTTTTATAAACATCTTGAGAGCTTTTGCAATCAAATTACTGAAGCCGATAGTTTTTGAAATTAACTTTAATTTAATGCTAAAAAACGCAGGATAATAAAATTTCGTCTATTATTATACAAGCACATTGTGCTCGTATTAATGAAGCTGTTGCTGTGGTTACGGACTCTGAGCTGTAATAGGCAACCATTCTTTGCACGTGGGAAAAGCAAAGAAAATATTTTATATAAAACATTATAAAAAGTATGAAAACGAATATTAAAATGTTATTAGAAGCACCATTCAAAATCATTTTAATACTGAATAAAGGAATAAAATGTGTGCATAAAATCTGTCTTCAGATTTAGATAAATAGTAACTGCAGATAACTAAAAAAAAAAAAAAAAAAAAAACTCTGAAAGTTGTCAGATTATATATTACGCGACGTTTTCATTTACACATGGATACATGATTTGAGAACATTTGGGCTAACTTCCCTTTGGGCTAAAAATACTTAAAAACAGAACATATTTGTAGAATTTCCGGTAGACAGTTTCGCGAGCTGGAGATAAAAATATTTTATTCCGTACAGTATATGTCCACTGCTCACTTTGAAATCTTTGAGTTTCTTAATAAAAATTCGTTGACGTTTTCAAGAAAAACTAAACAAATAATACAACAAATTCGAAATTCATGATTCGGTCTTCCTGATGCCCATATTCGGATGGAGAACTACGTTATTCAAAATCTGATGGAGCTAGATGTCGTTGATTATTCCCAATGCGAGAAACGTACATACATTCATGCAGATTCTTCATAATGTAATTTCTTTACATATAATATAGAGTGATAATATTTGATGGTAACAATTTGAAAAATGATACAGACGTTTATAGTGATTTGACGCAAAATGCCGTTTAGCCCCTCCGAGCTAAAGCCCCTTTGGATTAACAAGATTCTCACAACTGTAGATTTCTGCAGATTTAGATAAATATCTAATAAATCGTATTTTTTTTAGATATGGCAATATTCCTGGTCATTTGTGGCTTAAATAATAATCGCAAAACAGAAATCAGTGGCCTGATCTAAAACAAAAGTTTCCAAAATGAAATTTAATGGAATTGAATATAAGAGTACTTACACATGTCATCTCTATCACGTTGCTAGTATTTTTCGTGAAAACTTTTATTATTCCCGTATCATTCTTACATGAACGTCATTTTCTATTTAAAATAAAGAAAATTTTAATAAAAAAACACCTTTCTAATTTTAGTGCATTTAAAGAGAACCATGTAATTTTAAAGATAATCCTATATAATGTGCTTTACACTTTTTAATCGCTTCTTCACAGAAAATGGAAATATTAATCTTTACAGTAGAAAAATAACAGGTCAGTCAACTTCTGCGTCTAATGCCAGCGTTAAATAAATAGTGAAAATATGAATAAATAGGAGGTTGGTGGATATATAAAATTTGTTAGAGGAATTAGAAAAGTATTTTAATCCTTGTTGTCATGAGTAAACGAAGCGATTTATTAGATTACAAAAAGGAATGATGACCTTGTCAGCGACTGACAGAGGAGACTAGTAAACAGCTACATTATAGTGATTCATACCCTTACGTAATTATTTATGTAACAGAAAGTAATTGTCTAGCGAAACGCCTGGAAACATTTAAGTAAAGGAATGACACAACAAATAAGAAAATTTGCAAGAAGAAATAGAGAACTGTATAGTTATATGAAGGTATGTATCTTTAAAATAAAGTAGAATGTCGCAATTACCTAAGGAACTCTTAACGCCTGTAATTTAAATATAAAAAATTAATAATTGCTAATTATACGTACATGTGTGATATGTACTCTCTTTCTTTTGAGATTATGCAAATCAAAAACGAAAGAAAAAATACACCTGAAGAAATTTTTGGACGGAATGAAATTCTCCATGCAAAAATAAAAATTCAGTTTAAAAATGAAAATGATTTTAAACTCAAAGGCAGTATATTAATATGAGCCGTTAGGTGCACTACAAAGGCTGTGAAGGAGAAGGCTTACGGAGAACGAAGCTCAAACGCAGTGACAATTG